GTGGGGGGGGGGACGCGACCAAAATATGAGGGGACGTGGAATTTATTTTCGGTGGCTACGTCCACTGAAAAATATTGCTTCTTAGATTCCCGAATTGCGTTAACCGTGACAGCATAAGCATAAGCCTAGCCAAATTTTTTTTGCTTCGAAGTTTTCGAATGGGGGGGGGGGTGCCCCCTCGCCTTCGGACGCTAGCTTTTTGTGGGGGGGTCCCTTGGCCCATCCACACGGCCCCCCTCTCCCACGGCCCCCTTGGATACGCCACTGGACTAGTACACCGGGGTAACCCCTACTCGTCTCGAAAGATGTACTGGGTTCTTTAAAGTGCACTTATGCCAACTGTGTACACCGGGCCTATTGTTCATAGTACCGTACGTATTCGAGAAGACTTGTTCCACCACCAGAACCATAGGTGAGATTGCTGCTCGAACCATCGCCTATAATACTGAATGTCTCGAAGTTGCGTTGCCCCTGGCAAACATTAGGCCATTTGATTCGCCATGGTTATTACCATCAACATCAGCGCCACCACCATCACAATTATCATCGTTATTATTAACTTCATAATTATCATCATCACCATCACTCACAGCAGCATATCATCAGTATGATCAGCAGCAACAGTCCCACCATCATAACTATCATCATCGTCATCATCATCATCATCATTGCCGTAATTATCATTGTCATGATCATAAGCGTTATGAGACTATGATTATTATCAACTTTTATCAATACAATTATCATATAGTAATTTTAATCTTTTTGCATTAAAAAAAAATCAACTAAAGTACTTTTTATAAAAATAATCATTGCCGTAAGTATAATTGTCATAATCATAATCGTTATCAGACTATGATTATTATCAACTTTTATCGATACAATTATCATATAGTAATTTTAATCTTTTTGCATTAAAAAAAAAAACTCAACTAAAGTATTTTTTATAAAATGTGTTTTTTTTTGGCTTGTATTATAGTTTTGTAAAGCTTGATTTCCATAAAATCGCTCACCCTATCGGCGACAGTCGCTAACAGTCATTGGGAAGGTTGAACCTGGTTCAAGTTTGCCAATTGCGTTGCAGACGAATCAGGGTGCATTGCTAGCTGCCCTGACGAAATCGAATCATGGTGCATTGCTAGCTGCCCTGACGCAATTGGAAAGGCACCCGATTCGTATGCAACGCAATCGGCAAAGTTGAACCATGTTTAACCTTCCCAACAAATGCTGTCGCCGATAAGGTGGGCGTTTCTATGGAAACCGAGCTTTAACAGGCCATCTCAGTCATTGCATATTGGTTTGAGGACTACTATGGTCCAGCGGTTAAGATATCTCATAGATATCTCCAGTTGCTACCGTATGGTACCGGTATGGATGACTGCTGAGCACAAGACGGTCCAGCAACGACCAACAACAGCAGTTATGCGCACTAAACCTTCTCCTTTTTCGTATACACATTATGTCGACGTTCGGTAGTAACGGTAAAATCAGATTCAGAATAGCATGCAGCAGATATTCTGCTACATAATGGACTCATAAAACTCTACTAAATTCATGTGATTACCAGATTCAAATAATTCCAATTGTTTCTATCGATTCATTTTTCCATCCTATTCAATGTATTAAATTTCATCTTTTTTATTAATAGGTAATTTTACTGGATAATCGTTTCGGAAAATACAAATCATGCCTGATTTTCCTCTGTTCATTGATCATTAATCAATCGAGAACTCGAAGCAATATACTCTTCATTTGATTGAATATGCCAGTTAACTACAACAGTGTCTGTAGAAGCCGTATACCTACTATCTTTACTTATCATGCCATTGGTCACTTTGTCTTGTCTTTGAAATGTTTATATTCGACATATAAACACAACCTTTCTCAATTGGGTTTGCTATTTTGGAACTAAGCAATATATTTCAAGCGAAACACGAATCAATTTCAATTATAACTCCCTTGTTAAGTCTCTGTGAAGGCGTGAAGTCACAATTATTTTATATAATTACAGTTCATGCTTGTAACGACAATAAATGTGTGATTCTTAGTATCTATTGGATCAAGTATGGAAGGCGACAATTCACCTGGACAAAGTTTAAGTTCTTTTATGTCCTATGATTCGGTCAACGACACAATGGAAATGGACCTCGATTGGCTATCAAAATATACACTGCCGATGATTTACTCCATCATCGCCATAATTGGGCTTACAGCAAATGGATTAGTTATCTTCATTATACTGAGATTCCAGAATATGCGAACTATACCTAATATTTACATATTCAACTTGGCGCTATTTGATTTCGGGTTTCTTTGCAGTTTACCGTTTCATGCATATTACTCAGTAAAAAACTGGCCCTTTGGTCATGTCGCATGTATACTAATGGTTGGAATTGATGGTATGAATCAGTTTGGGAGTGTTTACATCGTCACAGCTATGAGCATTGATCGATATTTTGCGATATGTTTCCCGCTGTCTTCGATGCAATACCGTACGCGCAAGTTTGCAAAGATTATATGTGTGGCAATGTGGATCTTATCTTTCATACTTAGCTTACCGAGTTCGATTTATGCCAGAATCCATGAAAATGATTACGGAGTGTTTTGTTTTATTTCTTATCCAGATAATTTTTTCTTAGACAATACACACTTTACTATTTACTCTCTTTTATTGGGATTTTTAATTCCGGTCAAAATCATATTTTTCTGCTACTCCACACTTCTCTATAAAATGCGGAGTCGGAATTTCCCTGCTGGCTCAGATATGGCAAGTGGAGCACATCGTGCGTCCAAACGTGTTACCGTGTTGACGATGTCAGTCGTTGTTGGTTTTATTATATGCTGGACTCCGTATTATACGACTCAATTTGTCAGGTTACTTAACAAAGACAGTGTACAGAGCAAAGCATTTAATATTATCGACGCATTATCTAAAAGTGCCTGTTATTCAAACAGTTGTATCAATCCGTTTATATACACATTTGTCGGTGAAAACTTTAAAAAACACTTTTCTGAACTGTTTCCTTGTGTAAAACCCTCTTCACCGTTTTCTCGTTTTCAGCCAGCACGAGAAAGTACCCAGAGCACCTTGTATTCTCGAGGAAATTTACTTGGTTCTTCAGCTATAATTAACCAGCATGGAAGTTTGGCTGGCAGTGCGGTACCAAGTAACTCCTCATCAGTAAACGTTGCACTCGATTCAATCCCATGCAACGAACCTTTGCGTGTGTACAACTCAAACTCTCAAACCTTTGTGTTTGGCAGTAAAATTGTCGAAGAAAACGAGATCCCAGAAATAACGGAGCCTAATTCGAGCGAAAATGATATGAAATCTTTAGAAGTTTTGCCAAGTACTGACATGGACTCAAAATCGGTGGCTGAGCAGTAAGCCCAGGTGTTTTCATCAACGAGGTTGTTTTTCAAACTTGTGAAGAAAATTAAACGCTAATGATTCTTGCTTATTTCAGTCGATTACTTGGCCGTTCCGCCACACATACGCAGTTGTCGCTCTACACGTCTTGTTGAATGTATGAAAGTAAAACTTCATCCTGAATAACAGGCCTGTCAACATTACAAATATCTTGTTAATAACAACATAATATAATGTTGAAACCCGAAAGGCGTTTCATACATTGTTTCTAGATAGTCAAACCAGGCATTGCGCTTGACACCGAGTAAAGCTACATTTACACTAAACACGATAACGACACGACAATATCATCGCTGTCGTATATTCTTCAACACTGAACCCATTTTATCGTGCCGTTGTCGTGTCGTTATCGTATCTAGTGTAAACGTAGCTTTAGACGTTGGTAACATAACATGGCAAAACAGCTCTATTGTCAACCTTAAATTTGTCTACTGCTGTACCTAACTATTCCAAATAAGGATAGGCCTATTCCTACGTTTTGTATGCTGATGGCGCGTGTATATTGTACATTCAAAAAATGAAGGATTACCTGTTTAGGAACGGAACCTAATATATTAATATGAGTTACTGCGAACACAGTATTAGTAGTGTGGTTGGTTTTTGATCAACCTTATTGTGGGAATTCGAATCCCTTGTGCATTTGTCTTTGGGCTAGGCACGTCGTTTGTTTCTTCAGGTGTATACATTGGTACCGGTATAATAATATATACTGGAAGGGTAAAACGGACTCCTCTGTTTAAGGGGATTGGCAAACTTACACTTTTTATTTTAAAAATTTAAAATTTATGACGTAAGATTATTCCTTTTAATTTTCGTAAGATTGTGAACCTAACAATAGTTTCCATACATTTAAGATCAACTACAAATGGTAGAAAATTCTATATTTTGTAAAGAGGACAATAGACTAAATTGTCCCGCTGAGGTTGGGATCAAGCGGCAAAACTGGTTTATGATTTTATATGATATCGATTTCTAAGGAGAATATCTGTGAAAAATACTGTAGCAAATTTCAATAAAACATATTTTAAATGGATTTGGCCATTTATAAACAACCAAATTTTTTACTTTTTTTGACCGACTCAAATGACATTTAAAAAAAAATGTTTAAGGTGCATAGTTATGGTTGTCTTAATAGACCTACTGGGATCTGAAAAAAAAAATCTTTTCCCTACCACCTGGAATATTCGCGGATGCAAACGTTGTTAGTAAACGCGTTACTCACATTATTATGTAGGTGGGCCTACATATTGATCGTTATAATTTCAATTTGAGTAGGCCTGGTCATCTTTAAATGACAAAATCTATATACATGATACTATAATGTGTTTATGGAGTCTAGAGTTTACTACTCCCTTTATGAAATGAATCTCTCTGTCTAATATATGAAAACATCGTCTTCATTATTGCGAGGGAAAGGATAATAATTGAGCAAGTATAGAATTAAGGAGTAGTGCGTGCAGAAAATTAACGAAATACGACTAGGAAAATGGCAAATTATTAACTATTGTCTATGAACTGTGTTTGAAACTAGATATCATTTATTGTTCTTTTGCATTGTTGACAAAAAGTACGGTAGTTAAAGTGTGTTTCTAATGACTGACGACGTAGCTAGTTCGGGCTTACATTAAACCAGTGAGTCATGGTGTGCGGGTATATGATATAACGCACTGTATTATCATGCCTATCATAGCCTATGATAGCCTATCATGGGATGGAAAGTTAAGGATATTTTTTCAACAGTCATTGATGATTAATGTGATGTAAAATATTATAATGACGTCATCTGCTAAGGTAGCCAATTTAATGATAGCCTAGACATTGTATATCGCACGCACGGACTGCAAATTTCTAAAGCATGCCTGCACATCATAAATGTAAATAATATAAGTATGTTATCATTGAGTAAATGTATTAAGCTTATCAATATGCGTCTACCGATTAATTATTGTGAAATTCAAATATATAGGCTACAGTAATATTCAAGATAGTATTCATTTTTTAAATTATCTCACACACAATTAAATCAACAATATGCCCCAGGCTTTATAATATTTTCCATCTAGGCTGCCATTTACGTCCATTACTGCATCAAATCGATTGTTTGTCACGGTGTTCAGAAGGCAGAGTAGAACAGGTTCACTGTTAGTTATAGATAAACCACGTATATTGGCCTACTCACATTAAGCTGTAATATAAAAATGATCCCGGGCTCGAATCCCCTTTGGGAAAACTTGTTCACATTCACAAAAAAACACTTTTCCGAACATTTTCCTTGTGTAAACCCTCTTCACCGTTTGCTCGTTTTCAGCCAGCACGAGAAAGTACCCAGAGCACCTTGTATTCTCGAGGAAATTTACTTGGTTCTTCAGCTATAATTAACCAGCATGGAAGTTTGGCTGGCCTAGCCAACTTGAATGTGAACAGTGATCAAGTATAATATAGTACATTAATTTAAATGCGAAATTCTGTTGATAAATTTACTGCTATGTGTAGAATATTTCACGTTTTAAAATCTTTATATGGATTGATAACGATTTACCTATATTAAATATTTGAAATAAATTTAATTCATTTTAAGTTACCTGAGAAAATGACTATGGATGTTATTCATGGCTCCTCCATATTATTTTCATATAGACCTACCGGTACCGTATGTGACCTCGAATTTATATATTCTAGAGGGTCACGTTGCTCGCTTACCCTCTCTAGTATTTGAACGTCGCGATTAGCATCGATTTAAAAAAAAAAAGAAGAATAATATGACTACTAAAAGAAGATAGGGCTCATGGTTTTAAAAGCAGTTTCATATCATTTTTCATAATATAAGAATATTTAGAAACCACTAACATTTGATGAAACTTTCCTTTTATTATCATTCTGTTTGATTTATACATTATTTATGTTTCAAGTGCTAAGCAGCAACAGCTTGATTTGAATAGGCCTATTATTTCCTATGATTTGCTAGTTTCAGCTAGCTACCCATAAGCTATTACGTAGCTTTAAACAATTTCACTCCACTATCCGTGAGTCCTCAAGTTTTATGAAGGGAGAGAGACCAGAGATATTGCGGGTTCGATTCCCAACAGAGACCTCTTTTTTCATACTAATACAACTAATAAGGAACTTTCGTTGATGAACTATGTTTGATACGATTTGTAGCATCATGTTTTTATATATTTGAGCACTGTATTCCGTAATTCGGAAGAACGCATTATAAGCCAAAATCATGTTTTCAGATATTGAACAAAACGCGTTGCTTGTTAGCCTTTTCTTATGGAAATTAATTCTATTGATTTTTTTGTGAAAATGTACCGTAACTACACAATAGAAAAACATACTAAAGTACTTTTATGATGATTTTTTTTTCTATAACCTATTCAAAATGGACATAATGCGCTTTCTGAATTAAAACAAGAGCCAATTATTTTGATGATAGGCATTATATCTATTTTTGCCAATAAAATGCATGCGTTAGACTTCAGGTCTAACGAAAAATAAAACATTAGTGATTTTCACCAGGAGTATATGGTTTAAATTCCATAATTATATGCCCAAATAAGGTAAAACAAAAATAATTATAATTTTATCTTCCATCCATATATATTCTTTACCAGCATTATTGCATTAACATTTATAAAAGATTTACAAAACCCTTCTGACCTGATTTACTAATTTAGTGTTTCCTTTAATGTATAAAAGTATGGTACACTGTAAAATATAAACTAGAAATTGCAAATTGCAAGTGAAGTGCTGCGAAGTACAACTGCATATAAATGTTCTTCGAACAAAATTATTTATGCGAGTCAAGTGAAAATAATGAATAATAAAAATATAACAAATAATATGAGACACGACCCATTGTCTATATTAAAACACTTCTCATTGGGTGACAAAGTCGTAATTTTTCATTTTTGTCAAAAAGTGTCTATAGTGGTGTATTATGGTTTAGGTTTTTTTGAATAAAGTTTCAAAAATTTCTATGTATGTGGAAAATGTAGTTGATTACCAAAGGTTACAGTTCTTATTTTGAAGACTGCATGTTCTAGGAAGTGTACATTTTTTTATGGGGCAAGCTTCCAAGGGCGAGTTGACTGCCAAAGAGTGTTGCCAAAGTGCGAGCCAGTGTGTTATTTGATCACAAGTGCGAGACATCGCAAGTGTGAGCCAGCGAGCCATGACGTCACGACAATATATACGAGACGTTAACGAGTTGTGCGAGGTATCGGCTGAGATTTGTAGAGTACAATTCAAAAAACAACTATAGATCTAATAATGAATTATTGTGATGTTAAATAGACAATGTTAGCTATCAAGGACAGGGTCGTACCGTGGGGGGGGGGGTCGATGGTGCGGTCGACCCCCCCTCTTAAAGAAAGTGCCCTTTAAATATGCTCGCTTCACTCACAAATAACGCACCCCGCGAATTATGAAAGCTTCGCTAAATTGCTCCGAGTTCAGCTTGCCCCCTGCGCTTTCGTTTCGACCCCACCTTAGATTTTTCACCGTAGGCCCCTGAAGGAGCGACGTTGTTTTTCATGGGACCTTTGTCCCTTCAAGGCTAGGCCTATGCCATCCTAGCTAGTCTAGGCCTAGAGTAGGATTTTTTTTTTGGTGAGATGATTTAGTATGGGGAGTTTTCAAGGCGGCGAATTTTCTAGGGGCGAGTTTGTACAGGCGAGTTGACTGCCAACGCACCACACAACGTAAGCATGATCGAATTCGAGCCAACTCGGCACCCAGTCAACTTGGTCACAGTTTCGCGGCCCCCTAGTATAATACATTTTTAATTATTGTTTTAAAATGTAATAATAAGCACGTTGACATAAATAAGTTTAACTGGGTTCGTAAATACTATAGGCCTCAAAATACTGTGCCGAGACTTGGGCCGAGTTGACATTTATACCGCCCATGGTTATAGTAAAACGCTGAATAGTAATACTCAAGCGTCTCGAGCTGACGTAGAAACATAGCAAAAACGAGCGTTGGTACCGTGTATGCCAGTCTACAACAAGCGTCGCCTAAATGTAATAATTAGCACGCTGAAATAGGATAGTAAATAAGTGGGTTCGTAAATAATATTGGCCTCAAAATATTGTGGCTGAGATATGGGCCGATTAAACGTAGAAATAGGAAACCTAGAAATATAGTAAAAACGCTGAATAGTAATACTCGAGCGTCGCGACATGCAGACGTTAGTACGTGTAGGTTAGTCTACAAACATTGCCTAAAGTAATTGATTTTACCCGGCAGAACGAAAGAAGGAAACTCCGCTTTTCAGTCGTCTTAGGCCCTTGTTTTTTGACAAACAATGACCTTTCAGATGTCAAATTGCTGTCAAGAATATGAATTGGCTGCTTCGCAGCAATCAAATATTATCAGTTACCACACAGCTATAAAGAACAAATAGCATTACAGGGGCGGATCCAGACATTTGCAGGAGGGGGTGTCCAGAAAAAAAAGGGCACTCAGGTTTACTGTAGGCTATTCGAAGTTGAGGGCGCCGGGGAAGGAATGTCATAATAAAATGTCAATATCACCTCAGCCACACCATGGTTGGGACTGAGGGAAAAAATTATGATTATGGCACCTCTAGATGGCCCAAAATGGCACTCTCAGACCAGTGGTGGCACCAGCGGGAGGGGTAAGGGTGGGCACTTCCCCCCTGTAAGACAGGCCTGAACCCCCTGTCGTCCGACAAACGACTAGATCGTCGGACCCAAAATTAAACAAACCGGTAATTTGCCTATCCAAATAACGTTATTTTGATAGCCAATTGTGGTCTAAAAGCACATTTAGGCCCAAATTAAGCCATAAAAAATCTCCCCATGAGCCTAACAGTTTTTCTTTTGTTCCGAGCCGTCGACCGAAGCCTCATCGTCGCCTGGGTTCGGACCCCTCCGTCGGACACGTTCAGTGGCGGCGCCAGGATTTCCCCAACGGGCGGTCTGAATTCCTCGACGTGGGGGCTGATTTCCCCGACGAAAAAAAGGGTGGGCGTGGTCGGGCGTCACTAAAAACCTTTCTGAATTGGTCCAGAGGGCGAAACCCCCCAAAAATATGACAATTTATGGGTTGCTAAGGCTTAATTAATCGATTTTGGAGTCGATTAATATGTAAAAAAATACTTTTGTTTTTTTTCTCCCCCGACAAGTTGGTTTTTCTCCCCGACGGGGGGGGGGGCTGAAGCCCCCGTAGCGCCGCCACTGGACACGTTGGACCCTCTGTCGGCAAATTTCTGGCTCCACAGCTGTCTCAGACTTCAATTTAATTATTATTTTCTTTTCTTCTCTACTTATTTATATAACTTTGGGAAAAAAAGAGTGGGAAAAGTGCAGCTGGGCCTTTGAAAAATCCTCCACTGGAAAGCTATTCCAGAGAGGACGCAGGAAAATCACTTTTGTGCATCAGACTATCAACATTATCTTGATCAAATGCCTCCAGTACCAATGGTCAAACAATAGCGAACATACAGTTAGTGATTTCCCCTCTGGTAAAATGTGTAATGCACCCAGAACACCAGCCCTTAAAAATTAGGGGGGAAAATGTACATCCGAGAAAAATCGGCGTCGGCATTTTCAAATAAATCAACAAGGGCCCAGAAAATAAAAAAATGCAGTTGCTGAATGTCTCATTCAAGTCACTAACTCAATAAAGACCCATATAGCGAAGACCTAGCCTGCCATTGCAATACAATGTTCTTCCTTGGTAAAAAAGGGCACTCTAAAATTTCATGTGGGGGGGGGGGCGGACGTCGTAGACACCCCCTCTGGATCCGCCCCTGCATTATTGTTTTAATGAGTTGATTCATCTTATTTCATTATGAAGAATACACGCCTTTGTAGCTTTAGGCCCATATAGGCCTAAGTTTGTATTTTCTTAGATTAAGTGCACTCATTTAAATGTTAATAAATATTGTAAACATAATTTAGCAAACATGTTATATCTAAATTCCAAGCATTGACTTACAGTCTAAAATGTAAACCGGCCACAATTTACATTCTCTTTTTAATAATATACTCTGACCAACACCAAACCTAATATTTTGCCCTTTCACCAGCCAGGAAAATAATTTAAATATGCATAATTTAATCTATTGTCTTATGTAGAAAAAGCAAAATTTTGGGTAGATTCTTGGCAATTATGTTAAAACAACTCTAAAAACGTTACTGATCAAGAAAAAAGTGGGTACCAGTTTTTTCATTCACTCCCTGGGCCTCCATTTTGAAATTAAAAATGGCCGCCATTTTTAACCGATTTATTGATATTAAAGAGTGTTTTAAACATTTTATTGGCATTGGGTAAGTGTTTGGATACCAA